TCCTGTGATGCAAAGCTGAAATTTCAGCAGCCATTACTCCAGTCTTCAGTGTCACATGATCTTTCTAATATGCTGATTTAGTGCTCAAGAAACAATATAAATATACTGTATATATCTATATTGTGTACATTCTCACCTTGTATATTTCCTCATTAACTGTCCTGACCTCCACGAGGTCTCCAGTCTGGTCAATGCTGTAGACAGCTCCGCCCAGCTTCACACAGTCACCCAGCTCTCTCGCCATCGCCTCACTGATTTGATTGGCACCTCCGGCAAACTTGCGCTCCTGTCATATGGGGCAGCAGAAAACAGTTTTCCATACTTTGGTTAGATCTTGTATGTAATAAATATGATCGGTTTAATAGTCATATACATAAACATTTCAACAAGGATTGAAATTCTTTAATTCACCAATAGGTGTCTCTGTCTCTCAGAGATATAATTATTATAGAGTTGTATAATACTGCCCACCATGCACAGACCTTATCAGACAAGTTCAGAATATAAAACAGGTTAAAGAACAGAAACAGGCAGGTCATGACAGTTTATTGACAATGTCATTCCATAGGGAGTTAAAGATAAAAGAAGTGACATTTTGTTATCAATTTAGCAAACAAAACTGTTATTTGCTTTATTTGTGTACTATCAGAGGACACATTTGCTAGAAGGCTCCTGATATAAATGTGACCCAGATACAGTGGCCACTATTTTGGTATGTTACATAATCAGTTCATTGTCACAGGAATGAATGGGTATGACACAAGGTTGCCTCTCTTGAGAAGTATATACTATAATCAACTAACTTGAGGAATAAAAATCAGCTTCATAGATTAATAATCAAATTAAATATATTTTCTTACACCCCTAATAATGATCTTGTTATTGTGTCAAAAACAAAAATAAACCATGAAAAATTGGTTCTGCATTTCAGTTATTGGATATTTAAACAAAAATAATCTGTATTGGATCGGTCATAAAAAGCAGCTTCATAGATTATGAATCAAATTAAATATACTCCTCTATAAAGAGTATTACAGAGGCTTGACTGAAACATTACTGTGAGTACTTTACACATTATGACTTAATTTGTTTTGAGGTCAATATTGTTTTACCAGTATTCCCACTTTTTGTTACTGGTTGTTTAATATCAGGTTTACCAATATATGGCACCAAGTGATCTTTTTTTTAATGATAATAATAATTGTAATAATAATATACTAAAATACTAAATAAATTGTATTATAATGATTAGGGCTGTGTATCGGCAAGAATCTGGCGATACGATACGTTTCACGATACAGGGGTTGCGATACGATATGTTGCGATATATTGTCATACTGTAAGCAAGACGATATATTGGGATATTTCTTATTTTAGGAATAAGAGAATAAGATATAATTTTAGGAAAACTGTCATTTAGAACACACCACCATATGCAAACCTTACAGGGATTAACGCTAAGGATTTTTTCTACTGGCCTGGTCGGGCCAGTGGTTCAAATTTTTGCTTGCCCTGCCAACATTTTCACCGGCGCTGCCACAACAAATAAAATAGTTGCTGTTATCATTGTTTTTGATCTGTTATCTTGTATTCTAATAAATAAGCTTATATGACACCAATATTTTAGATACCAATTAAATTTTACAATTCTCTATTTCAATTTCGATACCACAGCAAAAATCACTAGCCAAAAATAAACATAAATATAAAGTTTAAACATTATTATAAGTGACAGCCAGTAAATAAGAACAAATGAAAAAATTACAAGTAATAGCACAATTAAATATAGGCCTATAGCATAAAACTAGCAATGAAATGATGCTTTAGGTTTTTATGTTTGTAAATGTTCAGGTACAGAAATCGAAAAATCACATAAAATAACATTTGCATATTATTCACTCTGTGTTGCACCTTGAGTTTTCATAGCCATTTGAAATTAGAGGCAACCACTGCATTTTAATCATGAATTGAAAAAAAAAGTGCAATGTTTGATTTATATTAGACTGTATAATTTCAAACTCTGAAGCAAAAACAGAATAACCTGACTTTAGCTTTGTGAAATTATGCTACATAAAACATCTGTATGAAACAGAAACAGCAGGTGGGCTGAATGAGACGCAGATTCACTCTCTGACAGCAGGCGGCACTTATGGTACAGCAGATACAGCATTTCCTTGGTTACTGCTGTAAACACTGCAGCACTGCGCGTATTAACACTAATTTAAAATGCATCATACAGAGACAAAATGAAAAGAAAACGCCATTTCTGAAAACAGTCAGTTACCCGTTCCCCTCAGAAACACATTCATATAAAATTCAATATTTGGATTTTCGTCCTATATTTCGCGCATCTTGAACAGTGATCTTGTTCTGCCGGCTACAGTATTTTCTCCTCTTTGTGTCTGTTTTAAATATCTTATATCGTAAGATGTGCTCCCTTTACACAGAGTGCGCGTGATCACGAAATCGAAAGTGAAAGTGAACAGTGCGAGCGCTCATTCAAAAGAGATTTAAATATTCTCCATTGATAGCGGCTCCCTGATACGCAAAAATTATATGCAATATTAGAATGTTTGCGGGAGCGGGCGGGACTGGACAAACCTTGCAGGAGCGGAACACACACGTTGTCACTGTTTAAGTTCAGAGGTAAGAAGACTGCTATATAGCGGTCGGGATATAAACTCAAAATGAAACAACTGCCATGAATCATGTATACATTTTTAAAAAAATATCGATATTGCGTTTTTGAGAATCGATACAGTATCGACAAACAAAATATCGCGATACTCATGTGTATTGATATTTTCTTACACCCCTAATAATGATCTTGTTATTGTGTCAAAACCAAAAATAAACCATGAAAAATTGGTTCTGCATTTCTGTTATTGGATATTTAAACAAAAATAATATGTATTGGATCGGTCATAAAAAAAGTATTAGTTGATCTCTAGTAATCAGTTAGGAGAAACATGAGAAAAAAGCTACAATCTGTCAGATATCAAACCTAGTATGACATGTCTGACATGACTATATTTAAACATGCAGTTTGAATATTTTTTTAAAGTGAACTCTCCCTTTAACCCTATGAAACCCTTCTTCTGTACTCATAACAGCAAAATATTTCTCTTTCTTCCGCAGAAAGTAAATTTTTTGCCTTGCAACAAGACCCATTTTGAGAGCTGTGTTTAACTAAATTAGGGGTACAGACTGAACAGTGACCATGACTATTGGACTTGGCAGGAACATTGAATTTAAACAGCTACAGCTTGATTTATATCACTATTTCTAACACCTGCTTTCCTGGCACTGAAAAAGGCACTGTTGTGTGAGGACACTAAACCCCCCATCTCTCACTCCCTTGGCCTGCCATTCTCTCATTCTCCCACAGATGTTAATTATACTGTAAACACAAGCACTGCTGTGGTGAAAAAGCTAAAGAGACGTGCACAAACACGCTGTGAAAACATTGTCGTTGAGTTCATATGTTTGGCATATAATTAACTCTGCTCTTCGTCAGAGAAATAACCAACCGAGATAAAGTATACAAACAGGCCTACAGTTTCTATAAGCTAAACTGTTGTATAAAGACTTACCTGGCCTCCGTTGCTGGTAGAGAAGATTCTCATAGTGCCTCCACACTGCTTGACGTACCAAAGGAACCACAGAGCAGACACCTCATAGGGCTCAGAGGTCACATTCACATTGACGAACAGAGTGGCAAAGCGGCGAGCGGCCCTGCAGCAACCCGTGGGCAAAGGGATATGCCATTAACAGTCAATATGCCACAACATTACATCATTTTAATTGGTCCCTTCTCTGTACCTGGTCCAGCAAATCTTGTCAAAGAGTTGCTGCATGGTCATCTTGTCCCACTCTTCAGCATGAGGGGCCCTCCACGGAGCTTCTTTAGGAATCTAAAGTGCATATTTGCAATCATGCAATCAGTCTGTTCATTCACTTGAATTAATTCTGATTCCGGTTCTTTAAAAGCTCCATTAACGATTATTTTTAAGAAAGAAATGTTCTGAACAAAATAATATTGCCAAATAATGCGAGAATTTAAAGGAACAGTTCACCCAAAAATGAAAATTACCCCATGATTTACTCACCCTCAAGCCATCCTACACTCTTAAAAATAAAGGTGCTTCAAAAGGTTCTTCACAGCGATGCCATAGAAGAACCATTTTTGGCTCCATAAAGAACCGTGTGGTTGTGGGGGGGGGGTTTTGGGATATGTTAGCAAGTTATATAGTATTCTTAGCAAAAATGTTAGCAAGTAGTATTCTTAAATATTATTTTTTATTTATAACTGAAATTTTGATGTTTTCTAATATACAGTCAGGGCTTGACATTAACACCCACCAAATGTAACATGGTCACTCCCACTTTGGTGGGTTGAATTTTATATACAGTAACAGAGCTTGACATTATGCTTGTCTGGGACAAATGGATGTTTTTGAAGGGGCAAGTGAAAGAGAATTTTACTTGACTGACCGGACAACTATCTGATTAAAACATCTAATTAGGGAAGCACCAAAATTTCGGCGAGAATGATTCTGATTTTATTACATTTGGTGTAAACAGCGATTAATAATGGATAATGTATTAACAGTATAACAAGGTCGCTCCAGTTGAGGCTCACACAGCCTGTCTGTAGACAAAGCGAAACAAATGAACACAACTGAACACAGAAGAAACATACTGTGGTAAATATGTAGTTTTTATAAGTATAGCATACATGACAAGACCAAGAGAGTGCAGTTTTCCCTGAAAACTACGATTGCAAATTTGATGTTGATTTTATACAAGAGTTCAAACGAATAGTTATTATTAATTATACTACGGGGCCGTTGAATGCTTGAATCTGATTGGCTGACGAACGCTATAAGGTGAGCAATTATTTTCAGGGAAACACATGGCGAATGTAGTTCCGGGCAGGTCTTGACCGCATTACATATCCATATCACTTCGCCAAATGATTTCAGTTATTTCAAAGGTCCATACAGCCTAAAACGGCAAAATAACCAAAACCCACGACACTGGCCAAGCAAATAAATATAGTAAACAATAGGATAAATATGACAGATTATTTCCATGTTTTTGACACAAAATTAAGTTTTATTATTATGTACAGAAAGCACATTTGTCCCACTCTCCCTGCCTTACAGACGCACACACATACTGTACAGACACACGGAAACACATGCGCTAATGTTGTTAGCGCTTATCTGATGATTTTATCAGTAAAATAGTTTAGCAACTTAAAAGCTACATGACATCTCTCACAAGCGAGGTAACAGCGGCACTGTTCTTGAAGAAAATGAACTTAAAGTTTCACTATTAGTAGAGACGCTGCTGCCGAACACTGTTGAGAGACGCTCAGACGCTAATTCACACGCTTAATCTCTCTCTAATAACTTAGTTAGACTATTAACTGCATTAGTCTGCCTTCAACGGCTCAAGCCTCCGTTACTAGGTCTAAAATGACTAAAATTACTTTTTGGAATTAGCAATGCAGGCGTTGGATGAGATGTGTAAGTAATGAACCCTACACACAAGAGCGTTTTAAGGACAAAAAACGGACGAATGTCTTGAAATATATCATCTGATTGATGTCTTGAGGTGTGGTAACCGTAGTATAAGCTGAATAATTGACTCCGATCTGTTGAATTATTAGAAAATAATGCACACCCGAGGTGGCGATGCGGCCACGACGTGAAGCGGTTTTTGTCCTTAAAAACCGGACGAATGCCTCGCACTTGTCGTCAATTATTCCTTATGTGACTTACATTTTAGTACAATATTGTCAATGTTGACTGTTTTTGCTCGATTTGGTTAACGAAAATAGTTCCAAACAAAGATCACAGCAGAACAGTTGCACATCTCTGAGCAACACACAGCGGTATATTTCCTTACTGAATGATTCGGCATTTTTAAATTAATCATTTGAGTCAATGATTCAGTGGTCCATTCATAAAGACAGGCACTTGATTCATTCTTGAATGATTCAGCCGTCTGAACGAATCGTTTGAATGAACGTCTCAATGACTCACTCATTAAAGGGAACCCCCGGTATTAAGACTAATATGGCTTAATATAATGTAAATAATATCTCTTACTGAAATATGTAGTAGAAAACCCATGAAAGATTTACGTTATTTAAAAAATCCACATCGTTTTATACATATTTTGGACTATGGGGGGTGCCATTATTTCAATGACGTCAAATGGTTGCACTCGGTGAGCTATGGCGCTATCTGTTGTTAATTTTACCGCAACACAACTCAGAATACTGATACAATGCCACATTGTGCGGCTTTTGGTTGTAATTTTCAGTCGAAGGGTAACAAAAGAAGTCTTCACTGATTCCCTAGCGATAAGAAGAGGAGAAAAGAATGGGAAGATGCCTATGGATGAATAAAAATTCTTAAAGACCCGCGTCTTTGTTCTCTCCACTAGTGGAGAGGACATTTTTAAATATAACTCTGATTGTATTCGTCTGAAAGAAGAAAGTCATATACACCTAGGATGGCTTGAAGGTGAGTAAATTCTGGGGTAATTTTCATTTTTGGGTGAAGTATCCCTTTAATTAAAAAATTTTTTTAAAACAATTCTTGGAGAAGGTGTGTTCACATTTACATATTTTTCATTGTCATTGAGGAGACAAATTCTTTAACAATTGATGAAACAATACAAAACAAAATGTAGTATTCGTTATTTATAAAATACTGCTGACAAAGTGCATAATTGTATGAACAACTAGCCAGATTTAGGTCTCAGTTACTTGTAAGCTGTATGTATTTTATTCACTAGAACAGACTCATTAGAATCATTTGTTCATAAATCTGACTACACTGGTTGCACTGTATGCATTCGATTCACTAAAAAGAGCTCATTAATTACAGTAATTTGTTCCAAAAATGTAATTTACACGAAATCATCAAATTATTTTGATAAATATATCAACTACATGCAACGACAAATTAAAAAGAACTCGAAAGTCATTTGTTCGGGAAATCGGACTATACTTGTCACGCTGTACGTGTTTGATTCACTACAATGAATCGACTCATTAAGAGTCATTCATTCGGGAATCAGATTACATGTGTTGCACTGTATGTGTTTAAGTGTTTTGTGATGTAGATTCAGCAGCAGTGTTGTAGAGGCATTCAAGTATTGCAGGTAAGTCTCAAGTATGCAGTAGAACAGTTCATGGACCTTTTTTTTTAAATGGAATTGGTTCTGAATAAAAATGGCCTTTACCTCCATCCCCATCTTGTCCATTGTCCTCCAGAGGTTGATGTAGTCCATGTAGGCAAGAGGGTTCCACACTGGAGGGAAAGGCCCTTTGAATGCATGTGATTTGCCCTTGGAAACAAGAAACAGTGTCTGTAAGAAACCTGCTACCTTAGCACCAAATAATGAAAATTGTGATTATTATTTTGTCATTGTTGACGTAATGTCTTTATCATAGCCATCATGACCTCATTATCATTAGAAGTGTAACCAGTCTGGAATGGAAAATGTTTTTGCTGCCTAAAATATACGTAACTGCATTTCGCCTGGATTGGAATCAAATCAGTTAATGGAGGGCCTCTGTTCACAGCCTTTATAGTTTGCGTTAATACAACCAGATGATCAGAAACAACTCGACCTTATCAAATCTCAGTAAGATTTTATGATTTTCACATAAAAATGTGACAATCTTCTTCATTAAGAGCAGGAGAAAGATATATATGCTCATTTAGAGTTGGAGTGGAATATACAATAATGATAAAGCATCTATAAATAGACATTAATGATAACGCTAATTCAGTAAAAAGAAAATTCATAATCATGGATAATGACAATATTAGTCTTTGGCAAACAGTGGCTATATGACACAAGCTGTTCACACATCGCTTGCTTCCCACAGTAGTGGAAACGCTTAGTCAGTACGATCATTCTCTGCGGCTGGCCAATGGGGTAACTATATGCAGACATTACTTCATACCTGGATTGCTCTGTTGCTGTGGGGCTCTTAAATAAGCACCATTGGGCTGATTGATTAATGTTTAACTACACATCAAAGATGAAGCACTGCGTTTCAGTATGTTGTTCTTCACCATAAAGTCACTCATGATTACTAAACCCATAATGATAATGAAATTGAAATCCATGATAAAGAAGGCTCTAGACTGACAGTTGAAAGCATGCTAAAGGTTACTGCGGCACTGAATCAGGCAACCTAGTCAAAACTGCTGACAAAATCAAAGACCTGTCACCTAGAAAGATTCTCACGCACCCCTGGGTTTGACGTCCAGCGTTCACTTCCGAGCAATTTGTCATGACATAGTGATTTGTGCATTTTCAGCACACCGTTTTGGAAAACCCTGTCATTTTATTGCTTGCAGAAAACCTACTTTTGAGTAGGACTAGAATGCACTTAGTAGGACAAATAAATGATTGAACACCTCAAATATCAAACCACCGCAAAACACTTGTCAGCACTGCAGGGACGTCACGCTCCTACTTCTTTGAGCGGGCACTATGGCAGTTCTGACTCACCTGGTGCCCTAAACAAGACAAAACATGACCAAAATCAAAGAAAGAAATCATAACTTAGCAGTCCAGTGGTAGTTTTCATTTAGCATTCCAGGGTTCAAATCTAGCCTATTATATTAATTAAAAAAGGCAACTGAACTTGAAATAATTAAGAACCATGCTTGATTATACATTTACATTTATCTATTTGCCGACACTTTTATCCAAAGTGCCTTCCATTGCATTTAAGCAGGGCTCGCAAAAATCCTTGGTCACAAAATCCTTGGTAGCCCTTCGGGTAGCCCTTCAGATTTTGGCAGCCTGAAATAAATTTAGCAGTCGAAATGTCAATCAAAAACATTTTCAAAACACACATATAAACAAATATCAAGGAAGGAAATTTATTTCACTATTTACAGGGTATCTGCAGAATTAAAAAAAAATCAATTTAAGGCTTTTTAATGACCCTTTTTAAGAGCTAAACAATTAAAAATAATACCATATAAGCAGGGTCGGCAATGTACATGGTAACATATTAAACAGTAAAATGACATAATTTGCAGTTCAGATACAGGTTTTCACGAAACAAAAATGATAAAGATCACATTTCAGCCTTTAAACCATTTTTAAGAAAAGGGATGAGTCAAACGAATAAATAATTTTATTAATTTAAAGCATAAATATATATCTTACTGTCTTAGTTGTTTAGAGACTTTTAGAAGGCACATTGGCTTCTTCCACATTTACAACTGCGTGTTTGCTGCATAAAAAACATGGGCCGATTTTCATGTTGATCTAAACAAAAACAGCAGAAGGGCTTACTGAAAATGCTAATTAATTCTTTGCCACAAGGTCGGGCTTTTGAAACGGCAGAAATATAGCTGCGTTCATAAACGCTACTTTATCAGGCATTACAGGTAAGAAGAAATGAAAATGCCATCGAAACTTTTCTGAAGACAATCAGTTCCCTTCAGAGATACATTCATATATAAACACCCGTGCCACGTTTTGAACCCTGTACTTAAGATAGCCCGTCAGGCAGGGCGGTGATGCATTTTGGTTTCCCGACTGGAAGATATAATAGCCTCGGGACGTCGGGTTAGCAATTTTGCGAGCCCTGTTTAAAGTTTCAATTCATACAGTTCATGCATTCCCTGACAATCGAACCCATGAACCCATGACCTCTGCATTAGTGCCATGCTCTATTGTTTGAGCTACAGGAATTATAAAACATATATATTTTTAAAATTTAAAATACACTTCTGATGGGAAACATGCATGACATTTCTTCAGCAATGTCAGTTAAACCCATATATCTTACTAAAATGGTCTCCTTGGCCTTAAGTTGGGTTTAAAAAAAAAAGCACATGTATAATGTTCTTTCATAATTTATGATCTAGGTAAGGTAACTAAGGTAAGGTAATGTAACTTTATTTGTCCCCTTTGGGAAAATGATTTGCAGCATTATCAACAGACATTTCATCAGACTAACAACAACATAAAAAAAACAATAACAGTCCTCTCACATAATACAATAAACAACAACACTAAAATAAGATGCCAGGCCAGCTGACTTCATGGTTCCTTACTACTATTTAGCAGTCTTATTGCCTTTGAACGTGACTTGGCCATTTACATTTCTAAGCCAACTAACACTACAGGAAAACATGTTCAGCTAAATAAGGGACCATGACATTTCCATATCATTTGCGAGCCTGCCAGACCAATGCTGGAGAGGACACTGGATCGCTCAGCATCCAGCAACAGGTCTGTTCCCATGGCGACAGAATTGAGGTGGGGATATGGAGTGCATCTCTTATGATATCCTTTCAGCCAGAGCAAAACCTAAGTCTAACCTAAAATCACTAACCTCATACTGCTCTATATCCACACTGCCGCCCACCACTCGGTTACAAGCAATGAAATGAGACCACATCCTGTCCGACGGCAATTGTATCATCCTCCAAATTAATATTCTGTTTGCCTGTATGTTACAGTATTGACTTTTTACAGAATGAAAATATATTAAACAAGCAGCTATTATAAGCAGCTGTGCTCAATGTTTTGCATTTTTTGCACCGATATTGGCAGATACAGATAAGCTTATAATTGTTTTGCTGTTATACCGATAACCAATAAATGACCAGTATTAAAATCCTAACACTACTTTGTCTAAATAAATAAATAAATAAACTAAAAATCAATCATTTAAAATGCAACCTGTGAGTTTAAGCATTGCAACATTAAATTTACAATATTAAAAATGCATATTTACTTTGATTTGCTAAAGATTATTAGTGTTTAAAGATTAAGTGAGTGCTAAATGAATGCAAAATCAATCTAAATATAAATAAGCATGAGCAATTAAATATCCAATATCAGTCGATATAAATCGAATTCAGCCAATACAATATAAAAATGTCTAATATCAATAACCAATACGGTACAGATACACTTTACATTCCTAGGAAACAGACAGTAATTATGTCGGCAAGTCTGTTTGGTGATGCTAGTTACATAGATCTTACATCTATCCACATTCCCTTGCATAATAGTAAAACTATATGCATATTACATATCATTATAATTAATTGCAATAGAAACAATAATAATGTAATTCCAAGTAATTCCACAACATTAATATACAATAAGTATATGTGGTTTATTAGTATTCCTCAGAATTTTGCCACTAATGTAAATGTACAGTTCTGCAAACACTGTACAATAGGCTGTATTAATTTTTAACAACACTGCCTTTGCACAACAGTTCAATCATAATCATATTAATATGCTAAAGCCGTCTGAAAGAACAGTTGCATGTGAGTTCCTCATGGATCGAGGCAGAGGAAACTGGATCTGGCCTTTAAGATTACAGCTATAGAAAAGCTGATTACACGGGCGCCTTGGCTGCATGGCTCACCTTAATTATAAAATGGTCTGCACATTGTAAGGCCCTTATTGGCTAATACTGCCTCAAGGCCAATAAGTGATTGCTGAGTAACAGGTGATACTATAAAAGCGGTTGTAAAACTTTCAACAAAGTGTGCAGAAGCAGATTTAACTGACTAAGTGAGGATCTGATAAAACTACCTAAAAATGGACACAGTTCAGCAAAAGCAGAAAGTTGTCTGATAATATCGAGGATTAACTCAAAAGGTGAATTATGCCACAGTTGTCATAGTCAACAACAGACCAGATCAACAGAGATTAATTTATTCATTCCTCAATGACAAAGCAACATATTGTTAGTGACCTATGACAATTAAAGTGCAGTCACATTAGCAAAATTTCACGAACAAAAAAGGTTTGTCAATAGTGTAGCAATGTAAACAGCACAGCTCCCACTAAAGTCACTTTCAAATCAAGCAGCTTGCTGTTGTTCAACACAGTGAATCCCCATGACTAACCTGAAACCTTTGCGAATTCTTTCGCACTGATGCTAAATTACAGATCGCATGGATTCCGATTAAATCCCCCCACACACAATTTTAGCTGGAAAATGTACTCTGGCTTTATTAATTAGTGGGTTGATCACCAGTAAAAATTCTCTCTGATGTGACATTTGCATAGCTCAACATTAAAAATCTGTGGACTGAAGTGATCTGTTTATAAGAGGGAAACGCCCCTGATCCCAAAGACAGAGCCAGACATCATGGTGTGAGAAAACGTGAGAGAGAGAGAGAGAGACAGAGAGAAAGAGAGTGTGTCCCCTCAATCCTGATAGCGATTGTCTTTTGATGAGGAGTGCTGCCATGGTAACCCACAGGGATGCTCCGATCAGAAGATAATGGCACGAGGAGAGAGGAGAACATACACTAACACAAACACACACATCATTAATCATTAGGACAGACACATTCGCAGTCATTCTATTTAAATCACAACACGTACCAAAAAGCAGCCTATAGCAAGACAGACCAGAACAGTATTGGTTGAAATGAAGAAGCCAAATGAAAACGTTATGTAGCGCAGCTCTGATCCTCTCCTTTATTTTTAAGTAGTATCATTGAGCCTCTGAACAGCATCTCTCTTACAGATGTCTGAATCCGTGCTGATGCATTCTTCAACAAATAAAGCCTTGAAATCAATCAGATATGCCTACATGTGTTCATAGCCTCTTCCTGGCGTCTACCTCTTTCTGCATTAGTGCCTTTGGGTTTATTCTGACAAAGCCTGTTAAGGAACAGCTGGCTTGACATTGACTTTGACAATGATTGTGCTGTCAAACTGCACAAACCAAGGAATGGGAACCAAGGATTGTTTTTTTAATGCAGGGGTTGTATTTTTATAGAAATGACTCCAGCAGGAATATGAGGCACTGTACTGTAGCTCAAAAGATCAAAAACATGCTCGCAAACAAACAAAAATAAATAAATAAAGAGAATAAAAACAATAAAGGGTTAGTTGAATAAAATTCCGCCTTCATTCACCCTTATGTTCTTCTGTGGAAGACAGAAGGTGATTTCCTCAAACATGCACTACTGTTTAAATTTGGGGTCAATAAGATTAAGAAATTAATACTTTTTATTCAGCAAGGATGCATTAAACTGATCTCAAATTCAGCTCACTGACTCGCCACATTTAATAGACCACTGAAACAACTAGCTATCATATGACTTGCATTATGGAATACAGTGCATGAGTCATCTGGACCACTTTTATGATATTTTCTGTTTTTGCTGCTTTTCAAAGCTTAAAAACACCAATTATTGTAACTGCATAGAAAAGAACAACCTGCACATTCTGCAAAATTTCTCCGTTTGTGTTCAATGGACAAAAGAAAGTCAGGTTTGGAACAACCATTTTAATTTTTTGGGTGAACTACCCCTTTAACATGATTCCTGATTTCTAATATTGAGAGGATTTAGGATATTGAGACCGAAAGCAAAGTTAAAGTTTCAGATCTTATAAATATTCAGCATTAACCAAATATTTACACTTATAATGTATAGATAGGTGTTACACAGTTAACTATTCTGCTGGGGAAAGCGAAGTATTATGGGAAACATGCCAATGGGTCTTTTCCACAGCAACTGAAATCCAGCTCCATCCTGACATAATCTACAATGAACATTCCAATGAATCTCCACCATGAGCTTTCCCTTTGTGCACACTGCCTTCTTGAGTATGTGTGAGTTGTCGGTTTGCTGGTCTCCATCTCAAGAACCCTTTTGATTTACCATGATAACTTTAAAACCACCTGCATTTTTCTTATGATATATGACCACAGAAAGCAGTAAAGCCCACAGGATAAAGAGCAGTACTAAGAATCCAGTAATTTATCCCTGTAATAGCAGGGTCAGAGCGGAGAAGACTACAGCAATCTACAGCCAAATCTAATAAGGTCATGCAGTGTGCATGTGCTAAGGGCAGTGATGCGTCTACCCAAATTGGATATGGGGCAGGAGGAGGGGAGGCTGGTTTCTTGAGTTCCGCCCTTCTTACCCACTCCAAGCGTCTGAAACCATATTACAGACTTCCTTCAGGCAGCGATTAGCATCTCCAGGCTTGAGCGCAGCACACTAATGTGAAGTAGGGACTCTATATTCAGCCCTGTTCAGCTGAGCGAACCGGGGCTAGCTCTGACTTCCTGTGCATTAAGACATGAGTGTGCTCAAACAAAAGGCTGTATTATTAGCCGAAGCTCTGGCCTGAGGCTGTGAATAGAGCTGGATTTTGAGACAAGGGAAAAATCTTGCTTGAATTTCACAGATGTTTTGCTTTTGATTCGGTAATAAGTCTAAGCTGCTACATGTGTAGGCCTTCACTGAGGTTTACCTTCACATAGTGAACCAGAGACGACTCCTCGTTGACTTTGTATGTTGAGGCTGTGAATAGAGCTGGATTTTGAGACAAGGGAAAAATCTTGCTTGAATTTCACAGATGTTTTGCTTTTGATTCGGTAATAAGTCTAGGCTGCTACATGTGTAGGCCTTCACTGAGGTTTACCTTCACATAGTGAACCAGAGACTCCTCCTCATTGACTTTGTATGTTTTCACGCCGTACTGTTTGGCTATTCTCAGGATGCGGTTTTGAGTGGGCCCAATGTACGCTCCTCCCAGATCCACCCATTTCGTCTCCTTATTCTGAAAGCAAACACAATTTGTGTCAGATTCACAATGAAATAGTCACTAAAATTTCTACAAGCCACACTGAGACCAAAAAAGGAAAAACAAGAAGGAAGTGTTAGAATATGCATGCAAAGACAGCAGATTCCCTTCCCTTGTATAGGCAGCGTCCTACTCGGCAACTTGAAACTCCGTTTTTACTGTTTCACCCTTCTTTTGACAAACTCGCTGTGGTGGCAAACATCTGACCTGAGCCAAATGACTCCGTGAATGAAGCTCATGACTGAAAATCGGATAAAAAAAATGGATTGTGGGATTGGCTTCCAGGGCGTTTTTATTAGACGTATGCATTATCTTTTGTCAAATTCTTACATTTAATCAATAAATTAAATTACAATAACAAGACACTGTTATCAATCATATTAAACCAGTATCAACTACACTGAACAAAATTATAAACGCAACGCTTTTGTTTTTGCCCCCATTTTTCATGAGCTGAACTCAAAGATCCAAGATTTTTTCTATGTACACAAAAGGCCTATTTCTCTCAAATATTG